GGACTTTTTCATATCCCGTGAATATTGGTCGGGACATGTCCCTACCGTCCCTACCCAAACCTACGCCCATGCTGCGCTCGTAAAACACACCATAGGATCTAAGCAGACCAATAGTGGCATTATTATCCCCGCTCTGCAGGTGAGCCTGACAGCTGAAGCATATAAAGAATCCATATGTTGCAACACAGGAATGTGGAAGATTTAAACTAAAATAAAAACTCATATATGTATTTAAAAAATGATGAATACACATGTAATGAATTATTTTTCCACATTTAATATGTCTTGTAATTTAAAGTATTTATTAATTTCATTTATTTATATCCAGTTTAAAACGAATTTCACTCACTGATGCATTTACATTATATTATATTATATTATATTATATTATATTATAACCTACATTCAGGGAATGCCACGCTGCTTACTTAACAGGGAGGAGTTGCGACACTTCGCTGCTGGACGCAAATTCTCCTGGTGATGACTCCGAGTTCATTTTCTCCGCAGAACAGAGTCGACCCTTGGTGACAGCTCAAGGCTTGTGAACGGGAATAAACTGTGGAGCAGTTCACGTGTAACAATGGGGAGCTGGAAGAATCACGTGCGATCTCAACTTCTTCACAGAGACGATAAAGAAAAACTACCATATGTTGGCGTTTTCAATAGACGTAAGAACAATGTCTCCATATTTACGGATCCTCGTTTGTGATAATTACTGCTTTGGCATAATCGCTTGTGTCCCTCCAGTCACTCAGCTGGAGGACCAATTTGAAATTCGCACAGGGATTTTGGAGGATCTTCAATGTAAAAGGTTGGTATGACCTATTCTTTTGAGACATCGACGTTGTATTTCATTTATATTTTCAGTTATTTATTTATTTATTTTATTTTTATTTTAGTTTGGAACGAGCAGGAGTAGAAGTTGACATAAACACCAAACTCCTTCAACTCCAGTTGAGAGAAAGTGAACACTTGGCAGAGAAAGTGAGTTTAATGGGAAGCACATTAAAAAGTTCTGAAACCTACAAGTAGACATGCGTAAATGAATATAAAATCCAAATATTATTCTTTGTTTAGTAGGCTATTTGAGTTCAGAAAGTAAAACTCATTTATGTAGTCATTACAGACAGAGCTTAGTTCTGTTAATTTTGACAAGTAGTTTCAGTATTTCAGTATTAGAAATTGGTTTATGTAATATTTACATTTCTCCTGACAAATGCATCTTTTGTTTTCTCTGTTTGTCATATTCATTAAAAAAGGAAGAAATAAATGCTTGAACTACTGTATAGTCCTGGGTGCAAGTTAGTATATGTAGAAGGTTTGGGCACATTTTTCATCATTTACAAGCAGCATTATGGAATACAGCTTGCAGCATGGTGAAAGCACTAACTACACTCTTCAAGTCATTGCTATTTGATTTGTTCGGTTCCTGACCTTTAAACTCATGATATTTTCTCATAATCCAATCATCCAATCCCCTTTTTGTCTCCCCAGCTGTCTCAAACTGTCTCCGACATGACCTCAGTCTTGTATGTGAAAGAAGCTGAGGTCCAGTACTGGCAGTCACGGTAACGTACACCCTGGCATTTCCCTACTGCAGCCTCTTAGACAAAAGAAATATGCACAGAAATTGCATGAAATAACTTATTGCACTTAGGATTACTATCTGACTATAAAAGCTTGTGCACTATGCATGAGAAGCATCTGTTTCTATTAAAAATCATATCAGTCTCATTGAATAAATCATGCGTTTCAAAAAATGTTCTAGCTATCTGGACTGGTTTATTCTCTGTTTCAGGGAACCTAAACTGCATGAGAGGAGTGTATGATGAAAACATTTCTGATTTATTTTCAGAATCAATCGCCCAAGGATCGCCAGCAGTGGCTTACATGTCTGCCTGTGGAGTTTACTCTCTGAGGCCAGAGGGTTGTTGGGTGTTTGGCTGTTTTTGAACTGAATTTTAAATAATCTCAAAGATTCTCTTGCTGAAAGATTGAAGAGTGGCTTCTGTGAAAGAACCAAGTCAATTGAATTTTAACCAATATCTTGTTTTGGAACGTGTCCAGCCTGTCGTCCTCTTTGGCTCTATGGGTCATCTCGTTATTATCACTCTTTATCACTCTATTGCCAACTCAGCTCTTAGAAGGATACACAAACCAGAGGATTTCCATTTAGGATTAAACAAAAATCAATGTTTAACCAGGTTTTCTAGTATTCCTTTGACTTTAACATCTACATTAGCCTTTTTTTCAAACCAGCTTTTCTTTTTCAGAGCATTCTTGGTTAGAACATTGAACAAGTATGATCAGAGTTAGTCTGTGTGTCTTCTTCATATTACTCAGAAGAGTTGGTTGAGATGACATCTGAGCCCATTTAAGAAAAAAAAAGCTTGCTGTTGAGTTTTTTAACTTGTACCTTGACCATCAAATATCTGCGTTTAGGAACAGAACTACAGAGAGATCAATGCATGATGACCATTTCACAACTTTGCTGTTGCAGCGTGTCACAACACCGCCAAGAGGCGCTTACTCTGGCTAAAGCGAAAAACAACTTAAAGGCTGCCCTCCAAGAGTTTGAGTTCACCATGGAGTGTCAGTCCAAAGAGCTAATGGCCCTACGCTCAGAGCACACCAAACTGAAGGAGGCGCTGGAGCAGGCCCACAGAGACAAAGAGGAACTCGTGCAGCGATGGATCGAGGAAAAGAGCGCTGAAGCAGATCGACTGAATGAACACAACGACTTAATGCAAACGTAAGAGCATCAAAGTGAGATCAATGTTGTAATCAAAGCTTCAGAAACAGTTATCTGGTCATTGTGAAAGGATGAAATGGCAGTCAATGGGATTTTTTTTCTTTCTTTGTTTCTTTTTTTCCCCTGAAGTTACTTCTTTTTACCAGGTGGCAACATCTGGACAAACAGCTGAAGAAGCACTTCCACGGCGAAAGAGGAAAACGCTTTACTCACTTACTGACAGACGTTACGGATGGTGCGACAGAAGCATCTCAGTCAGTCATTCAGGGTCAGAGTTCTCTCCTTTTAGATATTTATATACAAAATGTTTTCACTTTTTTTTTCTCCTTCCGTTTGGTTGTTTTACTTAAAGTTCTCAACATTATTAAAATTTATATTTAACCTTCCATTGGTCCAAACATGTTGGACTACAGACTCTATGTTTTTAATGGTAACCTTCTTAACATGCCCTTTAAACTGTGGACTTTCTTCTCTTGTCCTCAGGAGTTCAAGACTCTAGACAGGAAGTTGAGATTAAAACGGCATCTCTCCTCCAGAAAATGTCTGGTATCGCTAACCCTGACTTCATAGTAGAGACATTTATTAATCTGTGTTTGTTTAAATGAAGGCATCAATAATGGCACAAAATGGGACGTGCATAGGACAAAAAATGTCTGGTGTATTTAAATATTGTCTGGTGTATTTAAATATTAGCTATGAGCTGCAAAATGTGTTTGTTAAAATAAATATGTTATAGTATCCAATTATGAGCAGATTGTGTTTCGACATAATTATAAAAACACTGAAAATGTTTACTTGAATGTAAGTTCTTGTTTTAAGAGGAATAGGATGATACTTTTTTTGTCTGCTGGTGTTTTTTTGTTGTTGTTTCTTAGGATTTTAAGTCTTTGTAAAAATAACCTTGCTTTGTAAACAGAAAAAGTGTACCTGATTTAAACTGATTATATTCTTGTGGTTTTTATTTGTAAGCCATAATAAAAGTAAAGGAGCATGCTATTTTTTTTCTTTTTGTCATCATGCATAAACGCATGCTTTTTCTATTTAACGCACCATGAGTATGAAACTTTCTTTTCAAAAATGTTTCATTATTTTTCATAAAACATTGTTTTTCCTTCCTCTAATGCATGAAAATAGAAATATCTTTTTTTTATCATTATTAATGTAGGTTGTGTAGATTCTGTTAGGATAATAAAATAAGGAATGAGTAGAGATAAACGTAATTACAAAATAAGAAATTTGGGAAGAAGCATACTCCAGCAAGAAGGCAGTTCTAAGTGCTTTGCATAAAAAAACCCAGCAAATGATAAAGAACGCATTAAATTGCAGTGGCAGAATAAAGAGAAATAATGGAAATTAATAGTCGAATTGTTAACCATGTCAGAAAAAGTCTATTTTACAATTGTTTCAGATGTTTCAGAAATTCTGCACTTGGTTCACCGTGTTTATATTTATAAATGTCAGAAAATGACAAAAAAACATCTCAATATTTTATGAACATTATTTGCAAATGTCCTCTCATCTGCATTTTACACGTTGCTCTGACTTTTGTAGCTGCTTAAGAATAGAGGTGTCCTTTATTCTTTATTGTCCCACAGTTTAATGTGTTTCTTTACAGCAAAGTGGCCCAGATTGCTCACTAGCACAACTTCAGAGGGAAGATTGTACAAGCTATTATTCAATTTCCTGAGCAAATAAACTGGACTACTTTCCCCGTTCTGTATTGCTGTCAGAATTCCAGATCCGCAGCTCCGTGGTGATCTGGTATCAGATTGCATGTTGCCTGTTCCAGGTTTCCATGGTCACCACAATTTTATTTAGCTGTTAAGCTGAACAGAATGTGTGTGTTTCCACTGAAACCACTCAATAGTGACGTCTCAAACTGTGTCAAGATGGTGAAAGGTGGAAAACGCTACCGTGGTATGGACAAGGATGGCCAGTGGGTAAGAAACTGTACATTTTATTGACCTTATGCAGCAAAACATTCAAAACTAAATGCATTCTGGTTTTATTTGTCTTTGTTCTCAGTTTGCGCATCCACACAGTTCAAAGTTAGCATCTCGTGAAGCCTGTACAACTACTGGAGCTATGCTGAGTGAGACTAAAACATTGTTGCCTCAGGATCGGCATGTGAAGCGCTATCCTAAATGGAAAATTCACCAGGTCTGTGTGTTCATGTGTTTAGGAATTGAAATACATTGTTTTGTCCAAATTAGCCAATGAAATCAGATTTTTGACATTGAGTTGTGTTGTGTTGTGAATATTTACGTTTATTGCCGTTACTCCTTTAGACGATTTGACAATGTACAAGAGAAAATAATTTTGAGGAAATTCATGTGTCACATTGATGTGAGCAGTGGCTAAAGTGTAAAGTAGGGAAAAGCACAACCTCACCAACTTGTTTTCCAGCTTAACACTTGTTTGCTATATTTTGCGACTTTTCAGACACCTTTCACAAGTTTCTCAAAAAAGTGAATAGCGACTCTTTTTTATGTTATTAGAGACTTGAATGGCAAATATTGCAGATTTAAGCACATTTACAGGAAATTTTTATTAAATTTGCATGCAAACATTAAGTATAGCACCCTTAAAGAACAATTTAGACAGCTTATCAAACAAAAAATGATCTGGGGTTTAGCTACTCTGCTTGTAAGCTGAAAGGAAAGCTTCCAAAATGTGCAGCAATCGATACGAACACAGCAATTACATTTTTTCTGCTGCTTTCCAGCGATCCAGGGAGGATTATCCATTATCATGTCATGACAATAAGACCACCTTAAAAAGTAGCATCTCAGTCTTCTCTAATGTGAGTATTTATTTAGTTTCAGCACATGAAGGATGTGTTTCTAAACGCTAATGTCCTTTCCACACGTGTCTTTTCTGTGTTTGTGTACATCAGGGTGTGGGACGAAGGAAGTATTCTAGTGATCATATTCAGACCAAGTCTCAGGTCTGTCTGGCCCACGATTCAGGTGAAGAGCCTCCATGCAGCTTCTCTCCAAGCCAACCTGGCTTTACTTCAGTGGAGGTCTTTAGTGTACCTACCAAGAACAGGAGGTTCCCTCGAAACCACAAACTGAGGTCAGAAGAGGCCTTTCAGGAGACAAGGGAGCAATTCATGTGGTTTGGACAAGACACAGCCCGTGTCCCAGTTGGTCTGGATGTGCTGGTAACTGCCAACTTGTCGCCACCTTCAGGACGCTGAAGGTGGCGACCTCCAGACGTACGATGAAAACGTTTGGGTGGCTGGAATAAAAGATTCAGTGAGTTTTAATTTGAGGACACGCAGTCCAAGTGTTGGTTCAATAACAAAACTTCAGATGGTAGTAAAGAAACAAATATGCGTTATTGTGTCATTTATCTCAACTATGGACCAGGACTCTGTGCCTTTTAATAAAGTTTAAATTGAACCGAATTTTAATGCTGTAAATATACTTAAATATTTGACAAAACTGCTAAAAAAAAAAAAATCATCATCTTAGATAGCATTACTCTTTTGAGATTCAAATATTGCTCGAATCCCCATGTACCAAAAATCTCTAATACCTTTTAATCTAAGGCCTCTCCTGGAACCTTTAAATGGTGTCCAAAATCCACATAGCATTTACCCAAATACCCTGGAAAGGGCACAGAAAAGTCACTTGAATAATTACGTATGAGCAATAAACCTCTTCACACTTTTACGTCTAAAGCTAATTTCTTCAAACATCTGCAAAATTCAAAGTTCTTTTGAACACACCTTTATATTTACAGTAATTTAAATTACCTTTTCCGAGCAATTAGTTCTCTCTCTCTCTTTATTATTTTATGGCCCATAAACCTAAGTTCATCATCGAAGTGTCAAAATGTACTTCCAGCTAATAAGAGCCTGCCTGTAATATAATCTTTTAACACTGTGACGTTGATAGTCTCCATGTTTGCCAGATGGGGGCAGCAGACAGGCATGAGTCCTGATCTGGCATGCTCAGGCACACGAGTCCCTTGCTTGGCCAAGCTTCATGAGAGATCTAATAACCAAAACCTCTGTGTGAAATGAGCCCGCTTTGGGAGGGAACATGTGTGGAAAATAATTACAAAAAGAATGTAGCTATTTTAATTCAATGTGTATCAACATGACGACATTAAATTTGAGCATGTGAAATAAATTAGGCCTGATTTGAGTCATAATGGATGGGTTTGTTTCACCCCTGGGGATCAAATGGATGGATATGTTTGCAGCTCCCACAAGAGGAGAGGAAGTGTGGGAGAGTTGTGGAAAACACTCCACGGGAAAAAGAGAAAAAAATAAGAAAAACCAGAAGAATCTGTGACCAGTCCTTTTCTTTAGAGAACGCTACAACCAGCTGCTTTCTTTCTCTAAGTGCTCACTGGGGATGGTGGCTTTTCTCACCAGTGTTTTTTCAACTGATGTAATTAGCTCATCCGCGTACTAGATTAACCTTGTAGGAGCTTGTTTTGCTTTAAGAGAACAAAACACTAAGACAAAATTGTTTTTAGCTTTATTTAACTACATTCATGTTGAACTATGACCCTTTGTAAATTCAGAAGAGCCAAACAGTGATTCCTAAATGCAGCTGCACAACTACCGTGGGACTCAAGAGTGAAAGTACCACAATGATCATAACACTGGCAATATCAGTCAGCTTTGCTCTTGATGTTCATTTTATTTCCATTGGCCAAATCACTCTTTAAGAGTGGCAAATTACATTGCCTGACAAAATAGATATTTTATGTAAATGTTCTTTAGAATTTGTTTAGTTTTTGTTACAGTCACAAGCATCAATGCATTTTATTTGGCATTTGTGTAATAGACCAAAACAAAAGTGATGCAATATTGTGACACAGTTGGTTTTCTAATTTGGCCATCTTTGGTAGCCATCTTTCAAGTTTTCTATGGTCTCTGCTGGCTTTGTACTTTGCCTGTCTTTTGGTTTTGAAGCACCTGTAAAGATAGATTTCTAAGCTTTGCACAGTTTCCTAATTTACATTTAGATCTGGACATTGCTTGGGCCATGCTAACAAATGAAAATGCTTTGTGTATGTGAGTGTATCTGAACCTGTGCCCCAGTCTGAAGTCTGCAAGGTCTTATTTATTTTTCAAGGTTTCCCTGTAATTACCTCAGGCCATCAGCTTAAAAACAGCTGTTCTGAACCTACAAAGAAAAGCATCACCACAATATGATACTGCCACCGCCATAGCTAGCTGGCAGTGTGTTTAGGATGGTTCGCTATCTTAGTTTTTTACAACACAACATTTTCCATTTGTTGTCATCAAACTGTTTAATTTTGGTCTCCTCTAAGTAGAGCACATGTTAATGTTGTTCTGCAGATGGCTTATAGGAAACTGTGAACAGGATTGCTTATTGCTTTCTTTCAGAAATAACTTTTTTTTTTAAATTGTTGTATAATCTAACTATGCCCCTGCTTTACAGATTCTTACATCACCTCCAAGCTTTACGGTGTGTCTTTATAATGTTTTCTCATGAACCTGATCACGTTCAGAGAACAGCTGTGTTAACATTTACATTTAATAACATGTTAGTGAACTTGATTTAGAAATGAGGTCATTTCCGCATTTGATTTAGAAGTATAAAAAAGTACAAATCTTTTTTTTTTTTTCCTCAACTCAACATTCATACACTACCTTGTGATAGTCTATCGCATAAAATCCCAATGCAGTACATTGACATTTGTGGCTGTACGATTGTCAATTGTAAGAAAGTTAAACGTTATAAATAATTTTGCGAGAAATATTGTGAAATAGAATGGACTTAGAATAACTTAGAACTTCTTCTCGGCACAGAAATCTCCAACAAATCACAATAAGTAACCGTGCAGCCTTGTCAGAATAACAGCAGGGCTTTTAAAACATCTCAAGGGAAGAAGAGCTCTTTGGAGAGCTGAAACAACGTGTCAATACGGACCAGCATGCAACATGTTCTGTGAGATCTCGATCTTTCTCTCTCCCTTTGTGTGTGTGTGTGTGTGTGTGTACTCATGTGTGTGTGTGTGATGTTATCCAGAGGCAGAAACTAAGAGTATATGTAAATATAGTTACTTGGTGGAATATCAAACCTCATTCCAAGGACAAAAGACACATCTCGGTAAACAAGCATTCAACCACCAAAGCCTTGTACCTCATAAATATTAAATCAGGCACTTTGAATACTACCTCTTTGGTGTTAGGAGGTTCTACTCTGGATTCTTCCCATTTGCTGTGATTTATTCGCAGGTGCATGCGCCTCTTTGATGTGCTGAGTTGAGAGGGTTTGCACCTGTTAGAGGGAGACCAAAAATGCTTTGAAAACAAGAGGTGGATTTGCCAGACAGTCAAAATAACACCAACAGAAAGAAGATTTGTGTTGCCATGGCACATTGCATGTGTGCGCGCGCGCGTGTGTGTGCTAGTGTGTGTGCCTCTCTAAAAGGCTGCTGTGCTGTTTTGACATACTCTGTTGTATGCAGCAGAATTACTTGTGTCAAATATGACAGATTTAGGTTGTGCAATTTATCCACTTACTCAATAATGATAGGACTTGTAGCAGAATTGGACTGGCGATTTAGTGGTTATTCTTTATTCTTCTGCCAATTACAACTTTTTTTTTTAATTTTTTGCTGTCATGACTTACTGTCCTCGTCATGTTTGAATACTTTAGTTCGTCAAACAAAATTTACTGTGCAACAAATAACGCAATCTGTGTTAAGTGATTATGCCTTGGTCTAAAGAAATTCAACAAATTACCAAAAAGATCACAAAGGCCCATCTCACATTTCCCCAAATATGTTCCTAAATGACTTTTAGGAAATTATTCTGTGGGCTGATTAGCATCTTGTTCCATCAGGCTTGAGACTGAAATAGCTTTATGGGAAAAGTCCAGCAGTGAAACATGGTTCTGGTTGGACAATGGTCTGGAGCAATCATTTATTCACAAGATCCTGAAGGAGAATGTCCAGTTATCAGTTCTTGATATACTAATACTTCTGTTACGCAGCAGGACAATCATTGAAAGCAAGTCAGCAAATCTTTCTCCAATTGGCTAAATAGACAAAATGAATGTTTTGTAGAGAAAGGGCAAATACTTATCCAAAGTGATGTATGCTTGATATAGTTTAACCCTACAAGCAAAAACTAAAATGTTTTTCATTACCCGCTGCCTCATTAACTACATTCCTAAAAAACCTTAAGTGTCAAATGTAACGTGGTAAAAAGTCTTAGCCTGAATATTTGTGTCTTTTTTTCAGGCATGTCTTGAACAACTAAATGATGAATGAGCATGTTCTTTGCCGGATTCTTTATTAACAGACATAGAAGAGCAACAATGAACGATTCTGTTGTTCAACAGTCGTATATATATATATATATAAAATATATATAAAAATGTCTAACTTTACTCAAATAAACTATTCCACAATGGCAGCATTTATCCATTTGGAAAATCACAAATATGATCATGATACTTTATTTTTTGTCCAAAAAAAGTGGAAAAACGTATCAAAATTTTCTGACTCTGTTTATTGTAGTTGGCTTTAAAGAGTCAGACCTTCAAATAGCAAAGTCCAAAATGGTCCTTGAGTTGATTCCCATGGGTAGTTTAAACTCAAACCAGGAGACTCTCTTTAATCTCTTTCAATCACTCCAAATCCTCACAGTCTGCAGGGGGGTTTTTGGCCGTACGTCGGCTGGGGTCCCATAGCAGCTGAACAGTCCTTGTTCCATAGTGGTCAGAGACCCTCCAGAGTCTGAGGGAGGGGATAAAGGTGTCTGGCTATCTCGTTTCCACAGAGAACTAGATAACATCCTGAGAACATTCCCATCACTCGATGAGTTTGTCCAATAGAGATAAGGGTTCCCCTGCCAAAACTTCACAAGGAGACTGTATGTGTGCTGGGGTGTGTGTGTGTGTGTGTGTGTGTGCGTGCGTGCGTGCGTGCGTGCGTGTGTGTGTGTGTGTTGCATAAACAGAGTACTTTGGTGTGTGTTGGCTGTAGCCTTGTCCGTGTTCCAGCTGTGAGGTCTGCCAGTCTGACTTTAAGGGGTACAGAACAAACCGTATTGGAAGCCCAGATCTACCCTGGCATTAAATCACATTCCTTCATGTATTTTTAAAGCCTTATATACAGATTGCATACAAATCTGAGTGTAGGTGGTGAGAACAATCACATTAGACCTCTGTACACACAGACCTTAAAGGCATCAGTCTGCTAAAGTATCCCACCAGGGAGATAACAAGATAATAGCTTATACAAGGATAGCCGAATTAATAATTCATTGTTTATATATGAAGGAAATTGATGTGAATTTACAACCACAGCCGTTGCAGCAATGGAGGAATACATTTTATACTGATTGTGCAGTCAGTTTTATTCGTCTTAATGTAATTTCAGAAGAAAATAAGATGTTGTCACTCTGGG